GAGTTTGGGGGATCTCCTTAAATGCCTCCTGATCAGCTCTTGGTTCTGTAGTGACAGTCTTAGAGTAGTCTTGGGTTAGTAGTGGCCATAGTTGACAGGGTCTTATCCTGTGGTCCTTAGGAAGYCAGTCAGTCGGTTAGTGTGTCCGGGTAGGGCTACGTGGTGAGGAGTGGGACCCTTGTCGTGCACCAACACCACGATGGACGACTACCCGATGTATGGGTTGCTGGTTGGGCTCTCCCTCTGGGGGACCCTCTGGCGTCTCCTCTTTCCTCTGGGATTTTGGCATGCCTTTGCGTGTAGAGTAGGGCCCACTCGAGGTGGTACCACCACCCAACCATACACGAAGGAGGAGGAGGACAAGATGGCCGCCATCCTGCAGGAGAGGAAGGAGAAGGAGGCCAAGAAGAAGGCCTTGAAAGAAGAACAGGCGGCCAAACTGAAGAAGATGGAGGAAGAAATGGCCAGGGAGAAGGAGAGGCTGATAAAGGAAGAAGAGGAGAAACTGAAGGAGGTGGATGAAGAGGAGGAGGGACCGCCACTGCAAAGGAGTGGGCAGCACACAGCGGCCGCAGCGGTGACGAGTTGGAGAAGAAGATTTCGGAGTGGGTCGCCAACTTATTCCTAGGTGAGGAGGAAGAGGTTGCTATGTACATCCCCAAGGATGAGCAAGAAGCCGCCATGAAGAAATGGGAAGCAGAAGAAGATGTTCTGACGCGGCGGGCGATGGAGGATGAACAAAGGCTGGAGTGGAAGCTCACAGTGATGAGGGAGAAGAAGAGAAGAGTGGAGGCGGCGAATGCGGCAATGCAGGAACTGGAGGAGGTGAGGGCTGCCGTAACAACACAATTGATTCCGCAAGTGGATCTCCAACGTAAAGTGGAGATCATCGCCCATAGCGTTGAGCGGTTAGCTAAAGTGCAAGAAAAGCACTTTGAGTTTAGTCGCAGCCAGGAGATATCTGTACGCTCGATGCGAACGGGCTTACGAGACTTTGCCCGCGAGTTAGTAGGCGCTGTGGGGTCCGAGGTGACKCACCGCCTCGAGAAGACTGAGCGTTTTTGTGTCGGCGCCATTGAGGGCGTCAAGGTGGCCGCTCCCAAGGAGGAGGAGGCTCGTCCTCGCAGGGAGCCGGTCAAAGTCAAATTCCCTGATTCCTATAGTGGGAAAAGGGAAGAGAACTTTGACAATTGGGAGGCCAATGTTAAGACTTATGTGCATCTGCAACAGGTATCCCCGGATCAGCAGGTCCTAATTGCGATCCACGCGCTTAGAGATGAGGCCGCCAACTTTGCAAGGTCCCAAGTTCGCGCTGCCAACTGTAGTGACGACCCGGTAGTGCACTCCTCGTTCACATCCCTCACCGAATTCTTGAAGTTATTACGCGAGCGATTCGCTGATGTTGCCCGTAGTGTCAAAGCCTCAGAAAGGCTTCAGACAATACACTCGCGCCAATGGAAGAGTGCAAGGGCACTCAAGGGCACAATGGATGAGTTAGTGGTTGTTCCTGACCACAAGGTCACAGAGACCCGGTTGGTCAACCTCTTCTACCGGGCCATGCCCGAAGCGCTGCGTGGTCACTTCTTTGACAAGAGTCAGGACCCTGCTATGACTTATGATATACTTAGCAGGGAAGTGGTCGCGTTCGAGGCGAAGTCTGCGTCGATTTCCACCTTCTGGCACAAAGATTTAGACAAAGGCAAAAAGTGGAAGGGCCGCACTATCTCAGGGCAGGTCAAGACTAAGGATAGCCTTGTGCTCACTTTAGATGAAGGTAGTGTGGATGGAATCCCCTACGATCAGATTGAGTGGGGGTTAGAGGAGGAGCACAGCGGTGCGGGCCAAGGGAGATCCTACGCTGCTGTCGCGGCTGGAGGGAGGCCGCAAGGAGGAAGAGGTCAGGGCCAAGGGGGCCGGGCCTCAGGGAGCCGGTTTCAAGGCGATCAGGGGGTTGGCGGCAGAGGAGGAAACCGCAGAGCGGGAGGAAGAGGTCAAGGTCCCCCGCAAAACCGTCCTAGGAATAGGTCTCCCTATAGGGTAGGAGGATGGCACCTAGGGCTACCGCAGGGTAGGCCTTGGGAATCTTTGGGTCTGGACCAGGCTTTATGGCAACAATGATTGGACCGGGGCCAGTGCATTTTTTGCAGTGACCCGGGCCACATCATCAAATATTGTCCTAAGTACAGAGAGACCCGAACGGCTGCCCAAGGGCCAAAAGGCAGCCGCCGGTAGGGGTAGCAACTGCCCCTACCATTAGGTCATGTGGGGAACATAGCACTAGCCGGCAGGAGACTCCCACACCACATGTGCCTATGGCAGAGGTTGTAAGCCGGTGTCTAGATAGCTGTCCCGAATCTGSTTGTGTTAGAGTTTCGCTAGACACCTCCCTCACAGGCGTGGCCGAAGAATTGAAAGAGAGGATGCCCGCCTGGGCCAAGATGAAGAAGGAGAATAAAGGGCAGCTGATTTTGTTAGATACATAGATTCTTAGAAGTAGAGGAGGGGCCTTAGTAGACTCAGGGGCCACTCGCAGCTATATTAGTAGGAAAGCACTGCAGAAGTTGAGGCTGGGACTTAAAGTCCAAAAACTGACAGACCCCATAGTTAGTATCCTCGCAGACAATCGTACAGTGATTGTAGAGGATTACGTAGAGGGAGTCCAGGCATATTTCCGCCTAGAGAAAGATGGGAAAGTGGAGAAGGTCCTCCACTCCCTGACTCTCCTCGTAGAGGACAGCCTCCCATTTGACATTGTCCTGGGAATGGATTGGGGAGAGGCAGTTGGGGCCACGCTCCATTTCAAGGAGCACGAGTGTAGGCTCCCTAGTTCGTCAGGCGAGGCCAAGACTGCCCGCCTGTTCCATGTGTCGGGGGTAGAGAATTCCTTGGCGCACTGCTGCCTTAGTGCCCCCGCGTTCGCCAGACTGGTGAAGGAGGGATTGGAGGAACAGGTCTTTATTGCCTATGTTAGGCCAGTGACTGAGCCTACGGAGGAGAAGCCGACGGACCCCGCGATTGCCAAGCTGCTGGAAGAGTTTAAGGATTTGACTGAGCCGCCGACAGGCACGGTGTCGCGGCCCATCCAACACCGTATTGAGATAGAGCCTGGCAGTAGAACTCCTAAGGGTGCGGTGTATAGGATGTCCCCGCGGGAGTTAGAGGAGCTGCGGAAACAGTTGGACGAGCTCCTTGAAAAGGGTTGGATTAGGCCCAGTTCGTCTCCTTTTGGAGCCCCTGTTCTCTTTGTACCCAAGAAAGAGGGAAAGCTAAGGATGTGCATAGACTATAGGGGTCTGAATGCTATTACAGTAAAGAATGCTGAGCCACTGCCTAGGATCGATGATCTCTTAGATCGAGTGCAGGGGGCTAAGTATTTCTCTAAGATAGACTTAAAGTCCGGATATCATCAGATAGAGGTACACCCTGATGATCAGTATAAGACAGTCTTTCGGACTAGGTACGGGCATTATGAGTTCATAGTGATGCCCTTTGGACTAACCAATGCGCCAACAACTTTTCAGCGGTGTATGAATGATTTGTTTAGGCCGTGGTTAGACAGATTCGTTGTAGTTTATCTAGATGACATCCTAGTGTTTAGCCGGACCCTCGAAGAGCATCAGGGTCATCTCAGGCAAGTCTTGGAGAAGCTGAGAGAAGCTAACTTCAAGATCAATGCAAAGAAGTGCGATTGGGCGAAGACCCAAGTTTTGTATCTAGGCCACGTCTTAGATGGAGACGGCGTTAAGCCAGAAGATCGCAAGATCGCAGCGATTAGAGATTGGCCCACGCCACGTACGYTGACAGAGTTGCGCTCGTTCCTGGGCTTAGCGAATTACTACAGRAAGTTCGTAAGGAACTTCTCCACCATTGTTGCGCCCCTTCGCAGATTGCTGAGAAAAGAGACAATCTGGAAGTGGGACAAGTACTGCACATCCGCCATGAAGAACCTAAAGCAGGCGTTGATAGAGTATCCGGTCCTTAAGGTCGCCGATCCGTCCTTGCCTTTTGTTGTTACTACGGATGCTAGCCAGTACGGCATAGGCGCAGTGTTACAGCAAGACGATGGCAATGGCTATAGACCCGTAGAGTTCATGTCCGCTAGGATACATTCAGAAAAGGTTGCGACATCTACCTATGAGAGGGAACTCTACGCTCTCAAGCAAGCATTAGACCACTGGAAGCACTACTTGCTTGGGAGGCACTTCAAAGTCTATTCGGACCATGAAACGTTACGGTGGTTAAAGACCCAGGCCAAGATGACACCTAAGCTTACTAGGTGGGCCGCAGAGATAGATCAGTACGACTTCGAGCTCAAGCCTGTCAAAGGGAAGTACAACGTAGTCGCGGATGCTCTGAGTAGGAGAGCAGATTACTTTGGGGCAATAGTACATTACCTCGATATAGGAAAGGATCTGCAGCAGAAGGTTAGAGAAGCCTATGCGCAGGACCCTATCTATAGTGAACTCCTCACGCGAGTCAAGGGGCCCCTAGAGACCGAGCCGAACTACCGCACTACTGGAGGGTTACTCTTCGAGAAGACTAATGTCTTTGACCGGTTGTGCATCCCCAATAGCGAAGAGATCCGTAGTCTGATTATGGGAGAATGCCACGACACAGAGGGCCATTTCGGTTGGCAAAAGACTTTGGCCAATCTGATGCGCGCGTATACCTGGCCAGGGATGAAAAATGACTGCGTAGAGTATGTTCGCAGTTGCAAAGTCAACCAGCGTAATAAGAGTTCTACGCGCGCCCCGCTAGGTCTTCTCAGACCCTTGCCCATTCTGGATCAGCCGGGAGACTCAGTGTCAATAGATTTCATGGACACTCAAGTCAAGAGTAGGCATGGCAAGAGCCAAGTCATGGTCATAGTTGACCGCTTTAGCAAGTATGCAGTTTTTGTTCCTTTGCCTTATGAGGCGCATACTGATTTAGTCATACAAAGGTTCTTTGACTGTTGGATTAGTGAGAACGGAATCCCGCTGTCTATAGTTAGCGATAGAGATAGTCGCTTTACTAGCCAGAACTGGCAAGAACTCATGGGAGTATACGGATCTAAGTTGTTGATGTCGTCCGGCCGCCATCCAGAGACTAACGGTCAGACAGAGCAAATGAACAAGATCCTACAGCAAGTTCTGCGCATGTATATTAGGCCAGATCAGATTAATTGGGATGAGATGTTGCCTAAAGTAGCTAGTGTGTACAATAACAGCGTGCATCTAGCCACCTGCCGCACTCCCAACGAACTGCACAAGTCCTTTAGACCGCGCAGACCGTTTGAGGGACTCAACCAGGATCAGATCCAGAGATTGCCGCCGGGGACCCGGGAGTTCGCTATACAGCACGAGAAAGAACTAGCTATTGTTGTAGAAAACCTCAGGAAAGCCCAGCATAGGATGATAGAACAAGCAAACAAACATCGTCGCCCTTCACAGYTCCAAKTWGGCGACTTAGTCTGGGTTAGTTCCAAAGAGTTTGCGCCYGAGGAGAACATCTCGCAGAAGTTACTGCCCACATACAGAGGACCGTGGCCTGTTCTAGAGGTCAAGGGCGGCGAAGATGGACCGTCCTATACCATAGGGCTACCAGCACACCTCCACACTTACCCAGTTTTCCATGCGTCAAAGTTGTTACCTTGTCAAACAAGTTAGTTTCCATCCCGTAGATCGATGATCCCACCTGATATGGATGGAAGATATGACCTAGATGGTATAGTGGCTGAAGATGTCTTCAAAACTGGAGGTAGAGGTCGTCCGCAGAAACAATACAAGGTTCATTTTAGCTATCAGGAACCGGAAGACGACCGCTGGTTTACAAGATCTGAACTTCTAGAGACAGCTCCCGATATAGTCCGGGCCTATGAGAGACAACAGAAGGGTAAAGGTCCAGCCTTGGACTGAATTTTTCTCAGGGGACCTCGAATTTAGGCCGGCGGGAGTGAAACGGTAATCACCAGTTCGCCGTAGCGAATGCAGATCCCAGGGCTCGATCCCTAGTTCCCTGGCTACCTGTGTACAGTATTGATGTCGACCCGTAGACTTGAACCCGCGACCTGTAGGATCGCCAGTGGTAGGCAGGGTTTCGTAGGTCACAGCTTAGAAAGGAATCGAACTGTAGACCTGTAGGGTAGGAGTCTAGACAGTTCCRAAGTYGTAGCTGCTACTTACCTGAAAGGGCAAAGTCGTAGCTGCTACAGTACCGAAAGGCCAAGTTCGAGACTTCYAGAAGTGGCCTTTCGGAGTTGGCCKGTGTTCAGCAGAGGCAAGTGGTCAAGTGGTGGTAGTCCACCTAGCCCAGTCASCAGTCCCAGTTAGTCAGTCCGGTCCTGTTCAGCAAGTACCGTCYGGGACTGTGTGCACATCGTGGGCCAAGGGATACAGGACAGACCAACGCAGCGCAGAAGTATAAATCAAGAGGCTGCGTCCAGCCATTGCATTCATTCAGGCGGAAGCCATGCGGTAGCGCTGCCACAGCGTCTAGTGCAAGGAGGTCTGCTGGGCCCAAAGACGAAGGGGGCCGGAGTGAAGCACTGTAGTCATAGTGATAGGTAGCGGCAGCCATAGCTGCCATAGCTCAGTGTAGAGTGCAGAGTGTGTGTACTGTGTGTGTGTGTTGGGTATGAACATTGAGTGTGSGTGTGGGACATCCAGGGTGATCTCGAGCGTGAACAGTGAATCGTATKGGCGCACAGTCGCCATAGCCAGTTGGAAGAGAACTCATATMTGGTTACGATATCTTTGAGTACTGTGTGGGCGCATGTCGCCAGTTTGCTGTATCGCTGTTTGCAAGCTTGATGAAGTGTGAAGAAGTCGAGTCTGATTGTATTTGCGCCTTTTTTTGGGGTTGGTACCGAGGCTAAAGGCCTGGTACTTGGGCATTACAAGAAAAACCCTCGCTCCCATTTGAAACACAGTTCGAGGATCAGCCTGAAATCCACATTGTAGGCCGTGGGTCCAAAATCAGCACGCCAGGCGTGGTCCCAACCGTATCGGTAGGCCTACTGAAATCCCCAAGGCTGTCACCGTGACAGGAACAGCAAGTTCTCATAAAATCCTCATCGTCGGGTCGTCATGTGAAGTCGTGCAGTCATCGCACCAACGGCTGTACCAGTGCCAATACCGCAGAAATCGGAAAACACCGCTGGCTTCTTAAAGATCGTGTCCATCCACGGTTGCACCAAACCCGATAATCAACCAGTCTGAAAGTTACAAATAAAAGCTCCATGGTCGTAGCGTCTCCAGAAGTGTCGTCCACCGGGAAAATGGCAAGCCCCGCACATTGTCCTAGCAAGCTAATAAACATACTGTAAAATAGGGGTGTGCACACATGATTGGAAGGGGCGATAATTAAGGCCACTGAACAGGCAAATTATATTACGGCGACGAAAAACATGATCATCATGGAGAAAATAAAAAAACAGCGATAATCCATACTTTAATTTTCTTTTATCGTTCTTCCAATTTATTCTTGATTTTTAATTTTATTATTAAAATAGCAAAATTAAATAAAGGAATCGTGGGCCGATTTGGTTGAGCAAAATCGGGCGCGCAAGAGGACGCACGCGCGTTTGTAGCCAAAATCAGCAGGAAGAGAAATAGGGGTGAAATGAGTTGAAACAAAGGTCGTCAGGGATAATCCACTCGATCCTCTCGCCAGCCTGAAAGTAGGGCTAGTGCTAGCAAGTAAGTCGGTGGAAAATAGGGGTCGACCCATACACCCTAATTTTCTGCCGCCTGTCAGATAAAGGAAGTGAGAAATTTGTGCTTGAAGACCGAAACCAACTTAGAAATATGGCAATTTTGGGTGGCCGACTGGCTTCGTCCGCCCGACACCGATACACCAGGCAGGCCTGTATTCGTTGTGGTCAATATGGCCACAACCAGTTCAAGTGCTGCAATAAGAAGGAGACGGAAAAGATCCCGCCTACGATGGGGCAGGCGTTGGGATCCTTTGCTCCCTCTGGCACTGCTCCGGGAAACACGTCGGGCTAGTAGGAATACTAGTTGTTCCTGCTAGGGTCGAGGTGGTGGACACACCCTCACCATCTCGAGAGATGGCCCAAGCTACTGACTCCATCGTCGTCCCGCAAACAAATTCAGACCCAACGATCCTTTGTTCGCGGAATATGTTCGAGTCCTTAGAGGAGCTAGAAGAGGAGTGGTCTAGATCGGACCCACTAGCTTCTTGGACGGTCATGGCCAAAGCCCCGAAGGGTGAGTTGCTCGGCGGCGAGGTAGTCATCGGCGGCTGTAAGGCCGGGCGGCTGGCATCAGTAGTCACAACGAAAGGTTTGTCGGGATCAGGAAGTTTCAAGACCTCATGGTGTGTCAACGCATGCTTCAGATGTCTGAAAGCAGCCTCACACCTGTCTCTCCACTCCCATGGGGTGTCAAGGCGAGTCCGGTCGGTCGAAAGGGCGGCCACTATGCTATAATTTTGAACAAAATTGTGGTAGTAGCCTGTCATCCCTAAGGACCTCGTCTCAGTCACAGACTGAGGACACGGCCAGTCACGAATGCTGGCTACCTTCGCGTCATCGGGTTTCAATCCGTCCGTGGAAATCTCATGACCCAGGTACAAAATCTGGGTGCGGCCAAACTCACACTTCTCCTGGTTGATCTTGAATTGGTGTTGTTTGAGAAGGCTAAGGACTTTATCTAAGTGCGCTACATGCTCCTCGACAGTCCTGCTAAAGATAAGTATGTCATCGAGGTATACGATGACAAACTTGTCCAAGTAGTCATGAAATATCCGATTCATCGCGTGCTGAAAAGTGCCAGGAGCATTGCAAAGGCCGAAAGGCATCACCACAAACTCGTACAGACCGTACCTGATCTGAAATGCGGTTTTGTGTTGATCATCGGGCCAGATTGCAATCTGATGGTACCCGGTCTTCAGATCCAGCTTACTGAAGTACCGGCACCCTTGCACTCAGTCCAACAAGTCATCGATGCGCGGTAGGGGCTCTTTGTTCTTCACTGTGATGGCATTGAGGCCCCTATAGTCAATGCACCTGCTCAAGGTCCCCCCCTTCTTTGGTACGAATAGTACAGGAGATCCGTAAGGGGAAACACTAGGCCGAATCCAACCCTTCTCTTGAGATCCTTGCGTTGCCGGCGAAGCTCATCGAGCTCACCTGGAGACATCCGATAGATCCTACCCTTCGGAATGCTAGACCCTGGGATAATCTCTATTGCGTAGACGCCCGCCCTCTCAACAACCCCTTTTGGCTCGTCAAATAGATTAGGGTACTTAGCGATCACTCCCTCTATCTCTGGAGGCGTTTTCACCGGCTCACCCTCTGTAGAGACGTAAACTAAGTACATACCCTCCTCTGGATTTTGCTTATAATAATTATAGAATGCGGCCGCACCCATGCATCCGTAGGACTCAATCAGACTACGAGCCTTAAATTTACGTAATCTGGCGGTCCCTCCACAGGGCAAAGTGTGCTTGACCACTTTTCGGTCCCAATAAAATTGGGGCTGTGCAACGGAGGTAGTACATACCTAACAAGATATCCATAGGGAGATCATCGTGACTAGGAACGAGACTCGATGTCTCAGTTCCCCTCCTGCATACGGGAAAAGACACTCAATGTCTTTGAGGTAGTCATCGACTACCATGCGTTGTTTGTTTGCACAGGCCGACTCAGGCGTTGCACTTGCCCCTCTAAGTGCAGCCTCTCAACGCACGCGCGACTAATGAAGTTACGCGTCGCGGATGCTGTCCACTGCACTCTCAATGGTCAGTTGGCCTTGTTTGACATCGCGACCTCTGGGCTCATCTCACATCCTGGTCGCATGGCCTCTGCGGCTGCCAGCTACCCAAAAATAGGCCCGCGCGTGTATATTAGGCCTCGTGGCCTTCAGAGGGCTCCCATTGGGCCTCTGTGAGGGGTCCAATCCTTGCAACACAAGTATATCAACAACAATTAAATAATGAATTGTCCTAATATATGATTGAGTTGCAATGCAAATAGGATACAATTTTTTGCGCCCTCCCCGACGACAATGCGTGTTAAACCACCAGTACTTCCTAGAGTTGTGCCCGTTAACGCACCATGATTTTAGGAAATGTACGGGCCCCTACAGGAGCGCCCAAATTCATCCGACTAGAAACGTTTCTACTCTATTTTTTCGGTGGCCGATAGCTGGGCCAAGTACGGGTGGTTTAAGCGAACTGGATATTAAGGTTGTGGACGAGCAACGACCACTATGCATTCTCTGGATGCCTTGGCTGGAACAAAACAAAAGATTTCCATTGAGACAATTTTGGCTGGAATCCAATCTCATTCTGCAATTGCACTCGTGGTCACGTGTAGTGCTATAACAACTGGCCGCCAAACATTCCACTCATGATTTTCTGCACCTTTGAGTGGATTTGGTGCACCTTTGACGCATGACAAATACACAACCATTTCCAATTTCAAAGCAGAGCAATCTGGCAAAACTTCTCCGACGTACTCAATTGATTGTCTAAGATGAGGCCCCAATGAGCAACCGATCTTATTATCTCAAAGCTCATGACATAACGCTTGGAGACCTCTGTAATACAAATGATCCATTCTCATGTGAGTGAACTTAATAAGTTAATACTTCTCATAGGCAATTTCATACAAGCTTTGCCTGTTGTAAGGGTGCAATAAATATGCGTTCACTAAGACATCTGCTAGATATAAACTTTTGAAAACGCATGACCTCATGGAAAATATGAGCATTTTGAACACATGCAATGATGAAATAACAAAACAATATGCTGACTTTTTACTGGACGTCGTGAGTGGAACACATTCTCGAATCATTCAGATTCATTGCTAATGAACTTGTTGCAATCGAACTGCCACTTGAAATCTGTACGGATAGACTCGTTGATGATTTGATTTCATGGACGTTTGACAATGTCTCTCAAGTTCTCAACATGTTGGTGATGCAGAATGTTTCTCAGATTGACTATTTTGTGTCTAGCTAATAATGATGCGGTATATGTTAATAACTAATAATAACTCTGTACTCAATGATTTTCCTGGCGCACGGCATTAACTTTTCAATGTTGATTACCTTGATCTTGGTGATAATGCACTCGTTATGGAGCAAGGAGGTTGGCTCTATCCCTTCAATGCATTTGGATTGCCACTATGCAAACTGTGTTTGAACTTCGAAGGTTGACTCACCTATGATGCTTCGGTGGAATTTGTCACTTTCGGGAAGGATTTGCAATGGCAAAAGGCTCATCATTGACAAAATCATTAATGATGGCATTTTGGAGGGAGTACTTATGCGTTCCGACAAGAATGCGCTATTTTTGAGGATTGCCTTAACGAGTGATGACGACACTGCCGTCCAATGGATAAGACGACAATTTCCTGTATCTATTGCTTTTGTTGTGCCCAAAAATGAACCACTCTCACATGCAGGAATCTAGGTTCCCGAATGAGTTTTTAACAATGAAGTGTCATGAGCAACTCTACATTGCTTTATTATGTGTTTGGACATGCCAGTAACATCGTGTTGCATTGCCTGACAATAACTTTATTCCCGAAAATATTCTATATCACGAACTTCATCGCTGATCGTTCCAATTTCATTTCTTTTTTATTCTTTACTCGCAGGTGCTTCACAATTCTTTCTCTTCTCATCATGCTGCTTATTTTTCACACTATCTTCGTTGTTCCAATTAACGTTCTTTTTAAGTACTTCCTTCCATGTGACTTACAAATTTGAGTTTGGGTTACACACGCTAGCAACAGAAGACGGGTAAACCTAGCAAACAGCAACACCATTGATGTTGTTCGCAATGCTAGGACAAAAGTCTAAATTCAGTATACATGCGATCAAGGAAAACAAAATTGAAATGAATATTTGTCTATTGCATTCGTTAGATCAAATACAATCAGAGAGTGCAGTATGACGAAGATAATATGCTGTGTTCGGGAAGAATGAATCATGTGTCAAGCTTTTTCATTAGGTTATGGATTGATTTTCTGATTACTTVACCAATCAATAAGTTGCCACGGTGACTTACTTCCCGGGCGAGGACTCTGGTTCAAATGAAAAGGAAGAGAAGTCGTACATAAAAGATGACACTAAATGTCAGCAATCATTTTCTTTTGGATAAACTTGTCCTTGAGAATGAGGCAGTCAACAACACTCATATTGTTGTTGAATGCACATTGGCTTTGATACTGATAAAAATAATTAGCGTAGCAAGGACATCAACCAAAGTGATGA